CCAAGGGTCCCCTCTTTCATTCCTCATATCCCTTACCAAGAGCCACTGATAGGATGTGGCTACAATGGATTTATTAAACCAGTTGCAGCAGCTGATGAGGCCCTGGCAACAGGATGTGCTGGCTGGCTGGACAGCTTGGCCATAATCACAAAGAGACAGAACTGCAACCAGTCCCATCAAATGCCACCCCAGTGATGAAGGCCAAGAGCAGAAAGTCCCTCATCTACAGGATTTCATGCAATTTTACAGAGAGAGAGGCCATAGAGCTAGACCCCTAACCTCCAACCAGCCCTCCTCATCCCAGTTCTAACAAACCCCTTACTCTGACCAAGACATCTTACCATTTCCTTCTCCCTAACTAAGCACTAGATGAGCCCTCTACCTACAAAACACACCCCAGATCCACTGCCTCCCCCTTCAGGCCCTGCTTTCTGAGAAGGGTGTAAAGAAACTGGAGAGGGACCAGAGAGGAGCAACAGAGATGCTGAAGGGCTTGGAAAGTAGACCATAAGAAGAAAGGCTGAATGAACCAGGCTTGTTGAGTTTGAAGAAAGGGAGATCCAGGGAAGACATTTGAAGGTTACCTTGCAGAAGATGGGAGAGATACTGTTTTCTCTTGCTGCAGAGGAAATGAGTTTAAACAGCAGCAAAAAAAAGATTTAGATCAAATCTTCAGAGGCTTTTAAGAAGAGGCTGGATGGGCATCCCTCTGGGATGGCAGAGGGATAGTGTATATTACATCCACTCAGAGGGCTGGATGAGCTCCTGGAGCTCCCTTCATGCTTTATGATTCTCTGATTCTTCTGCTGAACAGTTCTTCGCGTTTCTTTCTGTGAAAGCTACATTTGCCTGCGCTTGCTCTATCCCCTGATCTAATCAATAGGTTCTCTCCTTAACCCTTGCTTTAACCCAAAGGTGTCAAACTCATCGGTCCCCACAGGCCGGAAGAGTGACGCACAACAGGTTCATGGGCTGGATGAATAGTGTGGCTGGTCTTGCAGGCCATCACTTCTTGCTGTCTCCCCTCTGTCCTCAGCCTCCTCCAGGTCTTTTCATCTTCCTTGAATTTCTACAGACTTCATTCTTCTCCATCTCTTGCATTCCTGTCTCCATCCCATTAGCTGTCACCAGAGGAACAGTGATTCTTAGCTGTATTTTCTATGGACATTTTGGGTTGATGGAGTGTGATTTGAATGAGCTATGATGTGAAACTATATCTCTAGAAGAGAGGGATCTGTGCCTACTCTAGATAGCAAAGAGGACACCTTAATTCTGTGGAAAAGTCAACACACTTGAGTATTTGGGGGAAGGAGCTACACAAATAAATACTGTAATTCAGGTTTCAAAGTGGTTAATTTAGAAGGTGGGATTAGCAGAGCTAAACAGGAAGTGGTGGGTGACAGTGGCAGACTGTGGTTGAGGTAAAGACGTAAACCTCAGTTTACGTGCCTCCCCTCCCCGATCTATATTGGGATTGGTGCTGTTTAACATATTCATAAGTGATTTGGAAAGGGGGAGAGTAGTGAGGTGTGAGGTGGCCAAATTTGTGGATGACACTAAATTATTCGAAGTGGTAAAGTCTAGGACCAACTGTGAGGAACTACAGAATTATCTTGCATGGGTTGAGTACATGGGCAACTAAATGGGAGATGAAATTTAATGTCATTTATTTAATTTAATGTGTGAGATAACCTTCTGCAAGCCAGCATTTGAAGGATGTGAATACCAAGGCAGAAAAGGAATTAATTCAGCAGCTGAAACAAGCAATGGAGAAAGATCTCAAATGCAGACTGAAGGGAGCAATCCTGCCATTGCAGGTGCGGAGGACTGTAGGTTCTGGGTAATCCAGTCTGGGTAACTTAACATGGAGCCTTTAAAATCTGATTATCTAAATTCATCACCACTGAAGAGAATAACAAGCAACAAAGAGGGTGCGGGACCCAGAGATCAGCCCCCCTGCAAGTTTTGATGCACATTCCCTTACCTTTACCATCTTTGAGGCACTGATGTTTCCAGGGTGGTAACTGCAGTGATGCCAGACCATGTGTGACCCTGTGTTGAACAAAAGAATCAGAATCACTGTCCAGCACGGTTGGGAAACAAAGACTCAGCAAGCCAGTTATGAGTGCACCCAAAATGCTGAGGCCCTGTCTGGAGGAGAAGATTTCATAGATTTCATAGATATTAGGGCTGGAAGGGACCTCGTAAGATCATCGGGTCCAGCCCCCTGCCCCAGGGGCAGGAAGTCAGCTAGGGTCGAAGGATCCCAGAAAGATCAGCATCCAAATGTTTTTTTAAAAAGTGTCCAGAGTAGGTGCCTGCACCACTTCTGAGTGGGGGGGAGTCTGTTCCAGGCCTTGGGGGCTCAGAGAGCAAAGAATTTTTTCCTTACGCCCAGCCTAAAATGGTCTTGCAGGAGTTTGTGACCAGTGAACCTTGTCATCCCCTGGGGTGCTCTGGTGAACAGGCGTTCCCCCCAGATCCTGATGCATACCCCTTATGTACTTACAGGCTGCCACCAAATCACACCTGAGCCTGCGCTTTTCCAGGCTGAAGAGTCCCATAGCTCACAGCCTCTCCTCATAAAGCCTATTTTCTTGCCCTCTGATCATGCGCGTGGCTCTCTTCTGGACTCTTTCAAGCTTCTCCACATCCTTCCTAAATTGTGGAGCCCAGAATTGGATGCAGTACTCCAGCTGTGGTCTCAACAAGGCTGAGTACAGCGGGAGAATGACATCCTGGGTCTTGCTCAAGATGCACCGGTAAATGCAAGCCAGAGTTTGTTTGCTTTGCCAGCTGCAGTATCACACTGGTGGCTCATATTAATCTTGTGGTCAATTATGACCCCCGAGTCTCTTTCAGTCATGGTGATAGCAAGTGTAGCATGGCTGAGCCTATAAGTGTGATGCAGGTTTTCATTCCTGAGGTGGAGCACCTTGCATTTCTCTGTATTGATTGCCATCAGGTTTTCATCTGCCCACCTTGCAAGCCTATTGAGGTTGACCTGGATCACCAGCCTGTCCTCAAGTGTGGACACTCTTCCCCAAAGTTTGGTGTCATCAGTGAACTTGGCTGGTCTGCTTTTGACACCAGTGTCCAGATTGTTTCATAGATTTCATAGATTTCATAGATTTTCACAGATTTTAGGGTTGGAAAGGACCTATTACATCAAGTCCACCCCCCTGCACTGGGCAGGGAAGAGTGCTGGGGTCAGGTGACCACAGCCACGTGTTTGTCCAATCTCCTCTTAAATACCTCCAAGGGAGGGGATAACACCACCTCTCTTGGAAGCGTATTCCATATTTTGGCAACTCTCTCTGTAAATAATTTTTTCCTGATGTCCAGTCTAAATTTTCTCTCCTTCAGTTTGTAGCCATTGTTTCTAGTTACCCCAGTGGGTGCTCTGGTAAACATCAGTAGCTCTGGTGGTAGGCAGCCAGAGCACAGCATGCTGCACAGCAGGCAACAAAGGGAAACTGGCTGAAACCCTGCTTGTACAAAATCTACTATGAGCTGCTTGATCTCCTAAGGCATGAGCTTGGTTTTTAAGGCCTCCTTTGCAAGGCGGGTGCACAGCAAGCAGCATGGAGCTGCTTCAGGAGAGAGTGAGACCAGCTCTGCTGGGTAAGTGCTCATGTTCAGAGCTTGGTGAAATTATTCAGGTGAAGAATTTATGCAGTGTGGGGGCAAATAAAACTATTTGTGAATTGGAGTCAGATTTAGTAAGATCAGCTAAAAAAAAAATGAGATAAAATGTGAAGTGCAATTTTTCCAGTGCAATATTGTCAAACCTAAAATGTTTCAATATTTCTTTCTGAAGCAACCACATTTAGCAACATTAAAAAAAAATTACGGTCATGAAAGGAAAATGAAATTTTTGGGGGGGGGTCAAAGGAATTTTCATTTTGAGTTGAAATAATTATTTGGGGGGAGGGGGTCCATTTTGATGAGGAAACTGAAACATTTTTTGTTTTTCAAGGACCTGAAACCATTTTTTCCCCCTTCAGTTTTTGGCTTCAGCCACTGAACTGTAAAGTCAGTTACTTGTGTGGGTCTATGCATTGAATCTCAACCCTCATAAGTCATCTCCTCTGTCTGCGTACATGCTCAGATCTCCAGGAACATACCTCAGAGGGAAAGTCCCAGCATTCAAACTTTTGGACCCCCTTCAGAAAAGAAGCTGATGGTGCCCTAGGCCCCCTGAGGGGGGAAAGGATTTACCTGTTTCCCTGGCTGCACCAAGAGGATCTCATTGCGCAGTCCACCTGCCAGTACAGATTGCTTTTCCCTCTCCTCTGCCTTCTGTTTCCCTCTGAGATGGTTCTTGATCAGTCAGTTGTTCTCACAGTTTCTGCCTGATAGAAAAACAGGTGCAGACTCCAACTGAAGTGCTCAGGGAGGCAAGTAATTGCAAGCTGGGTGATGGCACAACAAGGGAGTGCAGTCAGGAAGATGTCTGACCAGGAGTGCAAAACTGCATGCGTGTCCCATACTCCCATTCACATTCAGGAGATGGAGGTGAGGTGAAGAGTGACATTTTACACACCCTGCCAAGGAATGGCACAGCCAGCGAGGAATAGTGACCTCTCCACCCTGCAGTCTCCTCTCCCCCCTCAATCACATCCGTTGCTCCTTCCATGTGGCATTTGAAACAGGTAGTGAGGTCGACTGAGGACGAATATTTGGAAAGTACTTGCATGGGGCCTGGGCAGACAGATCAGGGTAAAAAGATTTTTAATTTTACAAAAAAGAGGAGGATGAGAGACAGGGAAGATCATTTCTAGAAGATCGAAGTGCTAGTGCTGAAGGAAACAGCACTGCTGTCTACAAAAAACCAGAATGATGTGGAAAACTTAAAACAGCAATGGTAGGTGGGCAGGGAACTGCAAGGCAGGAGCAAAGGATGCTGGCAGAGCTGTGTGGGGATCCCAGGACAGAGATAGCAGGAGGGCTGTTATGTCTGGACTGAGGAAAATGAGAGTAAGAAACAGAAGCTGAAATTTTATCCATGAGTTTTTATTTTAAAAACATGTAACACAATTACATATTAATAATAAGCATATAAAACCCATTGAAAATATTCACAATGCAGACACTGAGAAAAAGAAAGACTCAGATTAAGAAAGACTTATACACTTCGGTCCAAGGCAACACAAAGATACCCTTACACTTGGGATGGAATGCTCTGGTGTTCAACTTCAGGGAAATTTCCTTTCTTCGGATACAGACATACATCTCTATAGACTTCTCTTCCACAAATGGTTGGAGTTTGGAGGGATGAGCATAATTAAGTCAAAATATGAAAGAGGGGAGATATAACTGCGTGCAATAACCCGAAGACGTAATTACTAAAGTAGAAGAGGAAGTCTAAAGGGAAGGGAGGGAAAACCAGAAGTAACATTAATTAATTGAGCAAAGAGAATTTTTTCAGGCTAAAGACAGGAAATATTTCTCAGCAGAGAAAAATTTACTGGATTTTGCAATTTTGTCATGTGGGAAATGGCGAAGGCTCCATTGCTTGAGTCATACAAGACTCAAACTAGAAAAAAAACCCTGGAGGATTCATTGTAAGGGCCTGTTTTGATCGTCCCTTTGAGTGTTCTGGGGAAAACTGAGGTGTGCTCTCCACCATGACTTGGGTAGCCTTTTTCCCTGAGCCAGACATGTGTTGCCAGGTATATTAACTCTGAGGACTCCCCTTGTGCCAGTTATATGAAGTCAGGCTACGTGGTTCAAGTTTTGGTACAGGGTTGGAGCCAAGCCACTAGTTTCAGGTCAAAAGCTTGTTTCCATCCAACAACTGCAGAGGTATCGGTATCCGGAGTTTGGATTTACATCTGTCCCTATGCTGATGTTGGCGGAGTATTGACGGAGTATAGATAGACCTGACCATATTGGATCTCCTCCCCATTCCCGACTGAGCACTCCCATTTGTGAAACCAAGATTTCTGCCCTCCGTTTCAAACACATTGTATGCTCTCTGTTTTGCCCTACTAAACTAAAGTATTATTTTTCAGCAGGGATAAAGCTTATAGTATCTTTTAAATCCTCTGACAACTAGGAGGCAAGGGAAGAGACCATAATTAACTAATAAATAGCGAGTGTCTGGCATTCCTCATCTAATAAAGGGCAGTAGTACACAAACACACACACCGAGCCAGTACATTACAGTATTCCATGGATCCTCTAGAATGGTTGGCCCGGAAAAATGTACCCTACAGCTAATGAACTAAGGACAACTACAATTTTCATTCTGCCTATCAAGTTTCAGTAGCTTTGGTTTCTGTTCCTACATTTGCATCCTAATGGACACCTACCAACACATCTCAAAGGACTACTCCTGGCATTCAGAAGGCTTATGCTTTGTGCCTTTCTCTACATTTTGTAAGAAAAATTTATAAGAAAATACAGTTTGGGAAAATATGGGGTTTTTTGTCCTCACATCTCTTTAAATTACCATCTATCTCTTTCAGGCGTTCTGTACAGTTAGAAAAGAAAAATAGAGAAGGTAAGAAGAGCCATCTTCTGCCTTAAAATCACCACCATCCTCACTCTTCCTCCACAACAGCTACCAGTGACTGAAAATAGCATCAAGTAACAATGCCCTTTTGCTGCAATGCCACAATTTTCAAGTAATACTTATGACAACAATTAAATGCAGCCACCAAAAAAGTTCCAAAGGACATAAGAACTTTGGTGGATACAGAAAACACACACCAACACAGCCACATGCTCAATCTCACGAGTACTCAAGTCTTTGTATTTCTGTTTGGAGGACAGAAATTACTTTTAAAAGTAACATGCATAATCAGGTTCCTTTCATGCATCCTGTTTGGTACCATATTCCCTCATTACAGTTTTATTGCACTTAAAGTTGATAGCATCATTTTGCAGTTATCTTATTTATCTGAAACATCTTCCACTTTGTCATCTTTACGTTAAAAAAATAAATATTTACAAACAAAGTGACACACAAATAAATAAAATTCAGGTCATATTATATCTCAGACAATCTGTACAAAAAGTAAAGAAAAAAAAATACTCTCATAACTTGGTCCCCTTTTCCTGAGGCTGAGGGTAGTGTTCACTGGACAAACAATACAATGTGATGGCTTTTTGCATTTTGGTAAGTTTGTTAAGTTCCAGTGTAACACCATGCACATGTATACACACAGTGGAATAGAAGTGGGAAGGAACAGGGGACTTGTTTGGTTGTTTTACCTCACTATACAAAAATAATTAGTTCCAAAAATTAAGTGGTTGCTATGTGCATAAATAGGTTAATTCCTAGTAGCAATTAAAGGTGAGAGAGGCAAAAATATTGCCTTCTGTTCTCTGGTCTCCTTAGATGCAAGGCAGGTGAAGATGAGGTTATTTTTGCTGTAGCGCCTGGTACCTTCCAGTGTTGAAAGCGGGTGAGACCTTCCCCACATGGGACTTGCTAGCCAGTTGCAAGGTTTGGCAGAAACAGGGTTGGTGGGAGTGGGGAGGGGAGAATAAAATAGCAGCAGTTAAAAAATTGTCCCAGATATTCTCCTGATGTATTCATCGGCCCATTCCTTTAAGGACTCTCTGCCTATCCCTTTAAGGATGAAAAATGGGTCAAGGAATGGTGTGTGAAATATCTTAGAAAACTTCCTTAGCAGGCTGTATGCTGTTCAGTTCCACCATGGGGCTTTTTTCCACAGGTGATGTGGGTCTAACTTCTTCTGGCCGCCCTTCAAAGCCCCTGGAGATGTCTTCAAAAGTCCTGCCCTTGGTCTCTGGGACTTTGAAGAATGTGAAGACAAAGAAGATAACCAGGAAAACAAGGAAGATGAGGAAGACATAGGGACCGCACAGTTTCTGCAAGGAGAATAGAAGAGGAAAGAATTATAATTTGGAAAAAAACCTCATAAAGCTAAAAGGAAGGTGCAGTTCTCTGCAGTTCAGAATGATGACAACCTCTCTGAAACACAGATTTGTTCACTTTTAACCTTGCTTTTTTCAAGGGAAAGCTATACTATTTGCACCTTTCTTAAGGCTTCTTTCTGAACCTTTAATGCTATTTTGGCTGACAAAAACTGAAGCTTTTAAAGGGGTTGCCTAAACTCACAGCATTGTCTCAGCCAAAAGGCAAGGGAAAGCAAAGGCTTTGGCAAGCTGCAGTACTCTGCTGACATGGACTAGTTAGTGACCAGATCATCACCAATGATTTTCAGAGAGTGACCTTACCTCAGCATAAGGGAAGAGCATCCCCACCAGGAAATTGGAGGTCCAGTTGGAGCAACCAGCCACTGCCATGGCTGCTGGGCGTGGGCCCTGACTGAAGAGTTCAGCCACAATAAACCAGGGGATGGGGCCAGGGCCAATTTCAAAAAGAGCCACAAAGCCAAAGGTAGCCACAATGCTGATGTACCTAATCCAGGTCACGATGTCCTGCAAGAGAAGGAAACAGAAGCAGCTGTCACTCAACAGGCAAACAGCAGAATCAAAAGCTCCTAATATCCCCATATTCTCTGTGGTGCAGTACGGTCTCTGAACTATATGATCCCCTGACTGACCCCTGCTGGAGATTCTCCTCCCTTTGCCTTGAAGATCCCTTGCCTCCCTGCTCACCCCGAATTCCAGGTATCCCCCATGAAGACATCCCTTCCTTTGCCTTTGCCACCCGCACCCCACCATTTCCCCTGAGACATCTACGACCCTTTCAACATCGCTATTCTGTCATTATCCCAGACAACAGCAAAATTTGGATGCCAATGACTCACCTTCAGTGCCAAAGCAATGGTCATGATGGCTGCGCAAACAGCCATGCCACCCAAGCCAACTAGATGGAGGGTCCTGCGCCCTGCACGCTCAACCAGGAACAGCTGAAAGATGTGATAGCAGAAAAGAAAAAAAACACTGAATATCAAGGCAGCAGCTGAAGGGGTTCTCTGTATCATGATGCAGTTGGTATGCCACCCTGTCCTGTCCCAAGGGCCCTTGTTTGCCTTCTGCCCCCAACCCTCTAGTGCCTTTGTGATCAATCACACCCTGAATTAATGTGTGGGGTCACAGGACAACATTTCTCCAGGCTCTTGCTCTTCATTCTTTTCCCTTTTCCTTCCTCTGCCTCTTGTCTCCTACCCACTTGCATTCTTTCACCTTTATTTCCCTTTCCTCCTTCTTGCACTCTATGATCTTTCCGGCCTTGCTTTCCTCTCTTCTCTCCCAATCACCTCTGTGCTTGTCTTTTTCCTTTGCTAATCATGGTGTAGCACACCCTTAGGCACACTCTGAATGAAGAGATAAAACTGGCCCCGTGTCACTTGATGCCAACTATTTCTCCCAAAGTCGCCCATCATGCAAATCCCTCACCATGTTCCCCAGTGCTGCTTACCGATACAACAGTGAAGACTGTGTTCACAATCCCGGCACCAATGGTGGCATAAACTGGCTGGGTGATACCAGCTTTTTCAAAAATCCCGGTGGAATAATAAAACACCTGGAAGCAAAAGAAGCATTTGGATATGGCTAGCATTCTTGTATCTACATTGTGATATCCCTTATTGTTGTGCTTGATGCTTGGTACATTCAACTAAGAGCTATTATGACATGTTTGACCAAATAAAAATGATACTTTTCCAGTCCATGCTTGTGCAAGGGATCACACATTGCGATATGGGTTATAACATTTTGCCCTGAAAACTGCCATAGAGAGTTGCCTCACCCTTTGTCTCCTGTTTTTCATAGAGTACCCCCTCAAATGAGATTGTCACCCTTTGTTCCTTGGTACCCATCTCTTCTGAGGTTCTGGGCAGCCCACTTCCACAGGTCACCTGGAGCACAGTCAGTGTCTGACCAGTTTCTGAGACTACTGAACATTTGATTGATCTCACATACTCCTAAGTTTCTGCTTCCATAGCAGCTGAGCTATAAGATATGCCATCCATGCCTGAGGAAGTAGTGGAGCAGCTGAATGTTCCAGGCAGCAATTTTTGGTAGGCAGTAACACAAACAAGTGGCCTCAGTTCAAGGTGGGAAGTGAAAAACTCAGGGGGCCAGATCCTCTCATCACTGTATGTTAGCAACTGTTAACGAGAGCCACTCAAGTGCAGTAAAAGTGGACTGAGCCCAGGAAATGAAAAAGGAAGCTCACTTACAGCATTGATGCCTGAGAGCTGCTGGGAGAGCTGAAGCACAATGGCAACAATGATGGCCTGGCGGTAGCTTGGAGACCGGAAGAGCTCTGGCACTGTCACCTTCTTTTCCTGAGACATCTTGGCACTTTCATCCTTCATCTCTTGGATGTCTTGGCTCACATCCACTGTGCCACGGAGCTTCTGGAGAACTTGGGGGAGAAAACCAAAATATAATAGCTGGGGCCTCATTGGTTCACCTGGCTGCAGTAAAGAGGCCTGAAGTTCTGCACCCACACCTGGTCTCCCAGTTGCCTTGTAGAGGGAGCACTGGGAAGACAGACCCTGTGATAGGCAAGTGCTCTAAGATGCTGAGAAGAAGGCTCAGTTCCTTGATTCGGCCACCTATCTAGCTTAGGGTTGGATGCCCTAGGGGCACTGTAGAAATATGGCTAATGCCCTGCCCAGATGTATAGTTATCTATGCCTGTTGTGCTGCAGCCTCGTGATCTATTCCCACTTGTGTTCAACCCCTTACTTTGGGGCTATTTAGGAACACCAGAGCTAAATTCAGTGCTCCTTAAGGGTTAATGCTCTTTGAGACCATGAGAAAGATTCAGATCAGGTCTTTCATGCTTTCTGGACTTGGGGCAGGTTCGGGGTATAGGAAAGGGCAGATCTAGTGATCTCTGAGGATCAGGACACCCTGGTGCTAATGTCTATCCTAGTCTCTCATCCTCCCTGGGTTTTGTGTGGCCTGGGAGCATGGGTGAGGCAGGACCCAAGCTGTCCTGTGATCCCATGCAGAGGCCAGTCTTTACC